TGGGGATACAGGTCAATGTAAAGGCTACCTGTTCAATCTTAGTACAACACACACACAAAACATACTGCAAACTCGTGTATCAGGTAACAACCTCATACATTGCATGTTTAGCATGTCTCTTGATGATGTTATTTTTTTCTTTGCTCAGTTTAATCTTATGTTGTTTTGTCCACTGTGGCAATAGGCATATACACTTTACATAATATCACACACACACACACAGCCCTCCCGTATGCCTGGGTGTGTACAGTAGGCTATACAATCCGTGTTTGTGCAAGTGCTTCTGTGATATTTGCACCACGACAAGGGGGTAGACCATGGGTTTACATTAGCCTCAGTCACAGATGTGTTCAGCAGGCTCAGCCTCCTCAAATTACCTCAGATGTCCGTTCAGTTTAACCAAGGTCTGGACCTGGACTCGCACCCATGTTCTTCAGCAGCTGTGCTCTCATCTGGGGCCCAAGGTCCTCTTCCAAGGTCAGGGGTTTCTGGCAGAGTCTTCATCCTCCTCAGTCTTCCCCACAGCACCCTCCATCTTTGAGGAAGCAACAGTGCCTCTAGTTCTTCTCATACCTCAACTCACCCTGACTTCCTCTGTCCTTGCCCTCTGCCCTTAAAGGCTCGCATGTGAGTGCACCTGGGCAATCCTAGATAATCCCAGCTGTGCTGGATATCCACCCGGACCGGTCATGATTACCTCCCTCTTCTTAGGTCCACTGACTGGTAACTCAGGCACATCTACAAACTTCTTTCCATATAACATATTCTTTTCATACTCAGTTTTCGGTGCTTAGTAGAGGGCAACATCAGGAGGCCATTCTGGAAACCCTGCTGCCACAGACACAGAAATCACCGCACAGGAACCAGAGATTGCCGAGCCCTCAGCTACGGCACTCTGGTCTCAGTGCTGTGCTAGCAGCACGACAGAGCTCCCTCCGCAGCTGCTTCTCCCTGTCTGCTCCGATGTCTGCTGGCCAACTTTATCTGCACTCATATTGCCTGTTGACATAGACCTTATCTACAATTTCAACTTTAAACCACATGTCTCGTTGCTGCCTGGAAAATTCTTTGTATCTTAGCTCAGATTTTTGAGAATGAGATGCAGGCTGCGCCAGTTTATTTATTTATTTATTTTTGAGCCACATCTTGCAGCCTGTGGGAGGGGCTCACCTCCCATAAGCCATCAGCTGCAGTTACTAAGGTAACGGGCAATATGGTGGACCAAGGACAACCAACGTGGTGGGTAACAGGAAACTCTTCAGCCAGCATGGCTGGGTCCCAATTCTGACTCCTCTAGGTATACTGATTTATTTACTAAGCCTCACATTCCTCATCTGAAGGGATGGATGATAACTATCTACTTCACAGGGTCACTGTAATGAGAAAGGAGACTGTTTTTGTGACGGGCTTATCTCAGTGCCTGGTATATGGAAAAGATGCAATAAATGTCAGACTTCACTATAAAAATATCTCATCCTGAATGGGGAGTAGTGGTGCATGCTTGTAATCCCAGTACTGGGAGGCCGAGTCAGGAGGATTGCTGAGAGTTTGAAGCCAGCCTGGGCAACATGGTGAGACCCTGTCTCAAAAAAAAAAAAAAAAAAAAAAAT